GATACAGTTTATCGTCCACAATTTTGGGCGCATAAATGAACCGATTTGAATGGTTAAAAAAACATTCAATTCCTATTGATATAAAGATGTGCTGATTCGTTTTTGGTGAAGACAGGTTTAGCCGTTTCGGAGATATGGGGCAAAAAGTCCCAAAAACGGTAATATAGTTTTTGAGAGAATAGAGTACTCGATTTGAATGATTCAAAAAACATTTTACTTTTAATGACGAAATGAATAATTGGTGAAATTTTTGGTAAGAGTCTAGCGGTTTCGGAGATACAGAAGAAAAGTAAAAAAAATGATATTTGTTGGTCAAAAATGATCATTAGACGTATGCACATCAAATTATCAGATATTTGATGAAGTTTTTAAAAATGAGTACTAATGTTTTTGTTACAATTTTGTTGAGTTCCGTACCAAGAATTTCAGTTTTTAAAGCTAACTTATACGGTTCAAGTAAATTTCAAAATTTTCAGTAAAACATCTTTTTCAAAATTTTCAATATATACAAAGTTTTATACTTTAAATATGAATTTTAAATTCACAATTAAGTTTCAAAATGTATATATTTCAAATGCGTTATTCTAATCGTAAGAAATATATCTTCAGATGGATTCATTCATTCACCTCCTCAAATCTAACTTTCTCAAGTGTTTTGAGCGATAAGATCGTCACTGTATATTTTATGAACGATAAAAATATAGTGATCCTAATTATATTTTGAAAATGTATAAAACAATTGTTGTAAATCATTGATCAATTTTTTATTGATTACTGATTTTTTTCCCCTCGAATATATAATTCTGGTACGGAAAGTTCCAGCAATTTGCCTTAAGGCACAAACCTATCCACCATTAGTTTTCTCTTTACTGAAAAAAAATGCTAATCTCTATTTATGTGAGCATCAACTTGATATATAATTGATATGTTAGAATTTTCAGAATAATATATAATTTTCAAAGTGGCATCAACTGTGTCGAAAAATTTGGTATTTATTATTGCCATCCCTAAGCGGCGTGGCTCACCAGCACCAGTACGCAGCAATCGAGCGCAACACGGGTGATCACTGCGGGGGCAAGTCAAATGTCACCCGAACACAAAGATTACGCAACATGTCCATGATTCCGACAACGAAGCCGACATAAATTAACAAACAAACGCCTATATATACAATATACAACACATACAGCATACATACACTGTACTGCACACAGTAAATATAAATACAAATACTAATTCAGCGCGCTACATATCCCTGCTATGATGCTTCAATTAAATTCATAGGAGCAAGTTAAAGATGAAATCGGAAAAATCAACGTCGACCTCTAGAGAGCGCAGTGGCAAAACTGCATGGTGGCGATCGAAATGGTAGTAGATGCAGATATAGAAAAAACATGGGGATAAAGGAAATAAATTCCATCATATCTGGAAGGTCCCGGGTTCGATACCCACTTCGAGCAGCCTGTTGTCATATGTTTCCAAGTGAAAATAGCCCTCACCCGGCATTGTTGCACCATACTTGCCCTATTACAGAGATTGTAATAAAAATTTATCATACAGAGATGTGACAACTGTTTGGGTTGCCATCTGTAATAAAACAAACGTAGTTTGTAAGATATTAATCACAACAGCTCATAGAACTCATAAGTTCTGATCGCTGTTCAAATAAAATTATAAAAAAAAAAAAATCATATCTGGAAGACCAAACAATGTATTGGCATTTGATATTAGAATTTTCCTTTTAAGTACGACCAAAAATTTGCTGGTGTTCAGGATAACCTTAAGGCAATTAGCTGATTCTTCCCGTACCAACGATTAAAATCTTTGAAAACTTTTAATTTTTTTTGAAAACTTTAAAAAAAATACATTTTTAGGATTTTAAAATTAAAAAAAAATGTGACTGGTTGGATTCTATTTTTTTGTATTTTAAACTCTTATTTGAGATTTGTTTTAAAGAGGTAATTAAGTAGTCTAACGGATGAACATTGGTAAGGAACCCATAGAATTATAAACAAAATTTGTACTTATTATCAAAATCTCTATAAAATTTTATACACATCAAATTACAAGATATTAATATCTGGTAATTTGATGTGCACATGTGTTATGATCCTTTTTAAAAAAAATAATAGACTAGTGGTGTATGGCAACGTGCCTTAAGACTTTTGTAAAAAATTTATCAAATATCTGATAATTTGATGTGCATATGTCTAATGATCATTTTAGACCGCAAAATATATTTTTTTTACTTTGTCCTCTGTATCTCCGAAAACACTAAATCTGCCTTACCAAAAATTTCATCGATTCTTCATTTCGTTAATACAAGTAAAATGTTTTGAGGATCATTCAAATCGGGTTTTTCTTAAAAACTGAATTGCCGTTTTTGGCACTTTTTGCCCCGTATCTCCGAAACGGCTGGAACTGTCTTCACCAAAAACTAATCAGCACGTCTTCTCATCAATAGGAATCGAATGTTTTTTGAGCGATTCAAATCGGTTGATTCGTGCGCCCGAAAACGTGGTCGAAAATTTGTATCCGTACATACATACATACACACACATTCATTTTTTCTGAGGTATTTCAAAATGTTCAGAAACCTTCAAAACGCGAAAGAAGAAATGTAAAAAAATTCAATTTCGATTTTTGGACGATTAAAATAACTTACCCTATTTGTTTTGATGACTGTTGGCAGATAAGCATGAACATCAAATATAAAAAATATTGGCTAATCATTTGAACTAATGATACTAATTGTATGAGAACTTTGATACTAATGTTGTGAAAATCCTCTATAGAGGAAAAAGGAGCGACTTTTTGCCAAAACTTACGGGCCGCATTTAATTTTTAAAATTTTATGGCATTTTTTAAAATTATAAAAGAGTAAATATTTTATAAATTAATGCAACAAGAAAAGAATATATTATGATTAATCTATTGATATGAGAAAGTTTATGTAATATTATAAAATTCTATTTTTGAAATGTTTGGCGGCTCGCAGAAAAATATTTAAAGGGACGCATGAAGCCCCTTTGCTCATCCTTGCTCTAGAAGTAATTTGCTTTTTTTGGCTGAATTTCAACCAAGACTTAAAATTGTTTTTTTAATGGAAAATTAAATACAGTCGTTCCAAAACAAACTGTTATCATGTTTATAAGATATTATTAGATCATAATATCTTAAATATAAAATTATAATGTATAGAACAAAAATTTATGATATAATTAGCGTAATGATATTTTCTTCCTCTAATAGACATTTTATAGACTAGGTCTAATAAACATTTTTATAGACTTCTCACGACAAAATAGGGCTACTATAACTTCAATGAAGAATTAAGAATCCGCAGACAGATCGATATCTGTTCGGAATGGTCGCAATAGAAACCAGAACTTTGTGGCCAAAACTTTGTTCAACTTATTAATAGTGGATAAATGTATTTTTAATAAAGGAAAATAAATTGTTATTGTGTATATTATTTTTTAAGCACCATTAATAAGACATATGGCATAAGATATGGCGATAGTCACAGCGAGGATATCGTCCTTGTGAAATGAACCGGCATATCTGCAAAATGCTTATTTTTCATCAAAAATAGACAGTAAAAGTTTTATATGTGACTTAATCCATTCAACGTCTGTCTGGATCATCTTTATACTTAAACTATATTTAACAATACGATTTGACATAAATATAGACCGTAGAGGAAAGACATTTTCTGACATCTATAACTTAAAAACTCAATTTTGCATACACGCCAGTTTGATTTTACAGCAACGATATAAACTAATATTTTGAATTTATAAATAAAACGTTATATTTGTTTTAATTAAATATTTTCTTTAGCAACAGTTTACAATTGCTGACTGAGTCGCACGTAAACTTAATTGCCGCCAAAATGTTCACAACTCATTCAGCAAAATTAGAATTTAATATTAACGCATTCACCAAATAGAATTTAATTTAGAGAAGTATATTTATACTTCCTATATATCAAATTATTGACATCCCTAAATAATTGAATCAATGACAATTTAATTATGACTTACCACAATCATCAGACATCTCGAACAGGTGTTAGTAATACAAAACTCTTTTGAATAAAAAACACTTGAACTATAATTAGAAGGATTGTTTCAAATGACACATACATTTTAGATCTTGTTCGTTAATTATAAATAATAAATGTTCCATATTTTCACAAATTAATACTGAACTAAAACTTTTGCAAAACTTCGTTTCGTAAATAATGTTGCACGAGATTTGTAATCCTAGATAAGTTTGTAATCGTGACAGTAGAGCAATAAAAATTCAAATATGGCTATTAGTTTTTAAGTGTTGGTAACGTGTAAATTTTTTTCTATCGATTTGAGCGGTAATTCAAAAAAATACTTATATATTTTTTATATTATTTATAAATTTAGGAAAATCAAAATGTATTTAGAGCACAAATAAAATTATGCAAACTGCAATCAAACATACCAAAATTACTTTTCACCATAACAAAGTACGTTTACTCACTATTACTTCACTATTTGGTAGTTGTTAATTCATAACCAACTAAAACAGTCATGGTTTAAATATCATGTTATATTAATTTACAAATAAACTCGAAGTTACGATATATTTCTATGTAAAAATACAAATATTACCAGATTCATCAAATTAACGTAATTTTTAACTTTATTTACACTAGTGAGTTTCAGAAAAGCTACATATTATCAATTGTATCAACTGATGGCATAATTTATTTACTTACTCATACCAGAGCACAAGTAAATATATATAAAAAATGTGCGTGCATCACTATAATTATATCTAAGTCTCAATTTATGTTTTGTTATTGATCAGTCATACACACTAAAATTCAATTATTGCATTATTAAAACAATTAAATTTTGAAAGAAATTGTATTTTAGACAAATTTCATACAATTATCACTATTTCAAGTACTTTAAAATGAAAATAGAATTGAAAATTAGTATTGTACAAAAGTTTGTGTTAATTATTACAGTTTTGCCTGATGTGTACATGTTTTTATAACCATTTGAATTAATTTTCCTTATTGCATTTCACTGGGAAGTTCCACATTCAATCATATTTTTTGTAATTAGTTCATTCTATTTCACTAAAATTAAAACATTTACAATAGTTGCAAATTTTATATTTTTATTTATGCTAGAGTTGCTCAGCAATATGTATTATTGCGCCATTCTTGTTCTCTGATAAAATTAATCACAAAAGACATTGTCATTTTGGACAATAAAAGAAATGGAACTATGTACAAATGAAATATTACAGTTATTGATTTATTAAGATAGAACCATCCCCCTAATTCACTGCATATACCAAACATATGTTGGTCACAGATTAAATACTAAAGTGTCTGCCAAACCACAACATCCAACATATGCAATAAACATTTAAGAATTTGTGATATCACTGCCACAATTTACTGGTGTGCACATTGAAGTCCTGGGCCTGCATGTCCATGCTCTTCATCGTCACTACCATAAGCCTCTCCACGTCCACTACTAGATTTCTGGCTAGGATCATAATCATGTAAATCTACTTCTTCCACATGTTCACCCTCTGGAACTGTGAATACTGGCCTAGGAGGTAAACAGGCCTCCAATTCTTGTAATTTGTTTTCTGTAGTGAAGTGGCTAGCTGGAAATGTTACTTCAAACTTTATATATAAATTCCCTCGTTCAAAAGGACTTTTATACTGAGGCATTCCTTCACCCACAATTCCTTTTAAATCTCCAGGTTTAATAACCTGTCCTGGTGGATGCCTAATGATCAATTCTCTTCCATCTAAATGTTTTAGAACCATATGAAAACCACATAGAGCTTCTGTTAAAGAAATAGTATGTCGTAGCACTAGGTCATCGCCTGACCTTTGGAATTCATCATGAGGTTTTTGTTGTAAAACTATGATAACATCACCAGTTTCAACATCAGGCTGTTGATCACCTTCACCTCTGAAGTATATTTTTTGATTTTCCCTCATACCTTTGTCAACATGAACTTCTAAGATTTTAATTTCATTGATTACTTTCTTACCCTTACAATTAGCACACCGATCTTTTTCATTAATAACCTGTCCTTCACCATTACAATCTGTACAACGAGATTGCATTTGCTGTGTCATTCCTGGACCCAATTGCCTATATGTAACTTTCACACCGCATCCTCTGCAGGTGCGACAAGACATACTTGAACCAGCTTTACCACCTTTACCATCACAAGCTGAACATATCACATTTTTACTAAGTTGCAGTTTAGCTGTTTTACCATTGTACATATCTTCCAAAGACACTTTTAATGGGTGAATAGTGTCTTCACCTCTTTGTCGCCTTCTAGGCATTCCTCCCATGCCCCCCATCCCACCAAAAAGTCCACCCCCAAATATATGTGAAAATAAATCATCTGGGGCAAATCCTGGTCCATCATGGCCACCTTCTTGCATTCCTTTTAAACCATATTTATCATAAATTTGACGTTTCTTGGGATCTGAAAGGACTTCATAGGCAAATGATATTTCCTTGAATTTATCACCAGCTTCTGGATTCTTGTCTGGGTGAAATTCTTTTGCCAATTTTCTGTAATTCTGAACAATTTGTTTAAATAGTATATTAATAATTATGTGTAAAATAAATTATATATCACTTATAAAATAAAACATGTAATTTATATGTTAGTAATTTGTATTTCATGTAATGAAATAAAATAATAACAATTGAATAATTGCAAAATGAAATATTTTTACAAGTTCATACCATGCGATTATTTAACATAATCGCAATGAAATCTACGGAAGATTAGATCAAAAACATAATATAAAATAAATTTATGTACACATTTTTGACACTTACTTTTTTTATTTCCGAGTCTGAAGCTGATCTACTAACACCCAACACATCATATAACTTGTTATCTGCCATTTTTAGCAAAAAGGATAGGTTTTAATGCAAGATTTTACAAATGGCCAAAATGACCGGCGTGGTCATCCCTCTTGCGTTGTCAAATTAAACTACCAACTACCAACTGTCCAAAAGCTAACAGAACACTGTTACCAACAAACATTCATCAAAATTAAAAATGCGCACGAAAATAAATATTTCGAAATTATCGGATTAATAAGTTACAGCAATTTAGAAACGCATCTCACAATCAAAATTCATGCAGTCATTAGAAAAATAATCGACAATCGTGATAAATAATATGTCAATTCAAAATTATCGTGCAATGCTTTGCATAAAAGCAGTAAGCAAATTAGAAATCAAATTTGTTGAATATACAATATAGTATGTACAATAAACATTGAAATTACACATATTTGGAATATAAAAAACGCTAGGGGTACATGTACAGAAACTACACAGGATACAACGCACAAATTTTCTTAACATAATGAAATGAATAATTTATTTGCACTATTTTTAGCTTTATATTATACTAATGATGCAGAATTATATAACTTATACATTTCCATGATTCAATAATTTGATTAAATATTTGCGTATACGTATTGTTAATAAAATAATATGTAAACGCGTTATTATTAAATTGTGATATATTTAAAGGAATTAATTAACTGAATTTTAGTAATAAAAAACAAAATATGGGTCAGGGGACACCCGGGTTTGAACCGGGGACCTCTCGATCTGCAGTCGAATGCTCTACCACTGAGCTATATCCCCATGTACGTGCACAGCGAAAAATCTCTTTCTTATTCTATCTCTGTTGTATAAAGTAAATATAAACAACCTTATTCGTGGTAGGATGTGGGCGTGTGTCTTTTATATATTGTAATTTGTCAAAAAATGTTTAGTTTTTGACAACATTTATTTTAATTTGTTAAAATGTTTTATTTTAATTTTATAAATGTACATTTGTTAATTATATCATTATATGCTATAATAACTTCATCTAGTTTAGGTAATTTCTATTCGTACATATTCATTTAGGTTAAATTAACTTTTAGTTAGATTATTGGATTTAAAAAATTGGGTTGAAAAATTAATTGCACACTATTATTAATGAATGTTATTAATGATTGAATAGTTATTAATGAATGGCTTTTATCATGTTGTTTACAAATATTATTATTTACAGGCCAAGAACTAAAAGAAGAAGAGCAAATAACTTGGTGTACTGTAACATTGGAAGAGCAATATAAATGCCAAAATTTGACAAAAGCTTTAGAAAGAGATCGTGCTTTATTTAAAGAAGATTTTTTAACTTTAAAATGTCTTCAAGGATTTAATAAACAAGACTGCATGACACTCTTGGATTCTGAAAAGGCTCATTTTGTAACTTTAGATGCCGGAGATGTTTTCATTGCTGGAAGATATAATTCACTTATACCTATTATGCAGGTACATACTTGTTTGCAACAAACGAGAACTATATATGAACTTTATTTTGTAATTTTGTACTTTATTTGTAAGTGGTGTTCATCAAGAGTTACGGGGTAAACAATGACAATAATGTACATACGATAATACGCTAGTATTATTCATGTTGTTCTAAATTGTTATTTTTTTAATACTTACATAAATAATTTTTAGGAGCAATATGATGGCGGATTCAAATATTTCTATGCAGTAGCTGTAGTCAAAACTGGTACGATACCAGAAGTTACCAGATTAAGTGATTTGCGTGGTGTCAAAGCATGTTTTGCAGGTGTTGGATATTACGCTAGCTGGGTTTTACCAATTCATGTTGTGAGTGAAATGATAACAGCTATTGGATGAGTATAACTTTATAGTTTTTAATATTATAAATCCATAACTTTTTTAAGTTAACGTTTTTATGTTAATGGTTGGTAACATCTATTGCAAATGTACCGTTTCATTTAATTTTTTAAGAAATTGTATGTGTATAAAATGTTATTAGTTGATATTATTGTTATTTAGTTGATGCAAATGGGAGGTATGCAAATAATTGATTGCAACAATCATGTAAAATCAGCTATAGAGTATTTTGGACCTTCTTGTGCTGTAAATTCATTAACCGACAAGTATAATCCTATTGGCGATAATTCTGATAAGTAAGTTAATTATTATTACATATAATACCAATAACGAATGGCATGTTCTTATCATACAAGTTAAGAATTAAAATTAACATTAATAAGATTTTACATAGAATACATTTTTGCAATTGTTTATGATTAAATCTATTTTATAAATTAAAATTATTGTTTTTAGATTGTGTTCTTTGTGCACTGGTAAAGTGGCTGGTGGAAAATGTACCTCAAAAGATCCTTATGCTGGGTACGAAGGAGCTTTTCGATGTCTTTTAGAAGCTGGTGACATTGCTTTTCTAAGACATGACACTGTGCAACAAATGATAAGGAGCAAAGAATTCAGTTAGTAGTTTTTAATTATATTGCTGATATTTTTAACATCAATGCTTAGAAGGTAAAATTGAATTTGTTTATTAATTTAGGAAGTGTTCAGGAAAGCAGATTTGAATTGTTGTGCACAGATGGAACTAGAAAGCCGATTTCTGAATATCGACAATGTAATTGGGGAACATCACCATCTGATGCAATTGTCACTACATCTGCACACAACTATGAAAATAGATATCGGTTAGTAATATTCATTAGATAGTATATTTTTTGATTATTTTGTAACTTTTGATTTCACATTTCAGCTATACCCAATTCTTAAAACAATTAGCATCCAGATATTCCTATGCAAGGCAATCAAACTATAATAATACTCAATTTGGGTCAAATTCAAATAATGATTTTAATCGAGATCAAAATTTTAATCCAGATTACAACCGTAATTCTGGTTTTCAAGATTACAATCGTAACAATCAAGGGAGCTACAATAACAATAACAGATTCAATAATAACTATGGAAGAGACTTGAATAATGATTATGATCCTTACAATAATACTTATAGAAATTTAAAGCATGACAGTATCGACAACGATTATGGCGAGAGATACAATGCAAGTGCTGATCCATCATTCTATGAGAAATTTGATTTGTTCGAGTCTAATAGATATGTCGGACGATTGAATCTAATGTTTCAGGTGATTAATAGAAATGTGAAGTAAGCAATTGCATGCTTAATAGTTATTCAGAGTTACAAAGCTACACAATAGTAATCAACAAAAATTCCAGTTTAAAAATTTAAAAAGAAATTTTTTAAATAAAAAGAATTGATTTTGAAAATTTAAATTTGCTTCAATCAAAAATTCTTTTAACATAAAATTCGTAATAATGATTCTCAAGATCTGATTGCAATGCAATTCAAATATTGAGTGATTTATTTTATATTTTTATCAAAGATAATTATTAAACACGAATAGGTATACACAAAAATTATAATTTACATTTATAGATCATTCTATATAGAGTTTCTGCTCATTCTTTTCACTTCATTTGCTTGCTTTATTGAGTTTTCTTGATAATCTTACATTTTGTTGCACTGAAAAGAGAAGAAGTTTTAATTACTTACATTTTTATTGTTTTTAATTACTCACGTTGGAATTATTTCATATTGCAATATCATATCAACCACATTGTCAAACAAATATGTAATTGAGAATAAGATCAGGAAGCCTTCCCATCTGAATAGCACTAAATCAACAGAAGATTGATATTTCCAATAGTAAATGTATCGAAATACATTAGTTATGAAAATACTGAGTAGTACACTTATTAATAAAAATCCGAGGTGAATCAAATGTGATAAATTTATTAACATCTTGGCGCAATGACTTTTGTCAAGAATTTGTATGTTACATTTTTTAAATGTTAGTAATTCATAAATCACTCTAGGAAAATGCAATGGTCGCATTAAAAAATCTAAGACTTTATACATGATAATGAATCTTGCCAAGTATAACTCATTAGCCATTTTGATAATCATTTCGTAATTTTTATAAATCATATTCAAATTTGTCATGAATTTATTTTTGATACTGATTAAATTGGAAAACAAAAACTTTTCACTCGAAAAAATAAATGACTGGAAATAAATTTTATGTGCCTGCTTTAAAAATTATTACTATGTTTTACTAATATAAATAAAAATGGATTATAAAGTGTTAATACACAAAATACACAAATAAAAATAAATATGAATCTAAAATATCTTATAAAGTATAATATCTTAAAAACCATAAATAAAAAAAAATAAAGACTAAAACTCTAAATCTACACAAATCTAAAATCTAAAATGATCTAAAATCTAATAAAAATCTAGAATAAAAAATCTAAAAATCCTAAAATCTAACAATCTAAGAATCTACAAATTTAAAATTAGTGAAATCTAAAAATCTACAAATCGTGAAATCTGAAAATCCTACAATCTAAAAAACTTAAAACCAAAAATGTAGAACCTAAAATCTAAATTCGAAAAATTCTAAAACTAAAAATCTAACATCTAAAACCTAAAAAATCTAGAATATAATCTATAATCTAGAAATCCTAAAGTCTAAAAAATCTATAATCTAGAAATCCTAAAATGTAGAAATCCTAAAATCTAAAAAAATTCTATTCTAGAAATCAGGATTGATTATTCTTTTTACATTATACCATGAAATTTAGCTTTTTTGTAGTAATTATTATTATTATTACTATTAAATAATTTTTTTATATCTATCTTATGTCTTAGGATACAAGCATTGGATTAGTTTCTTTACCAGAAAATAAACAGACTTATATTGGATACTTAGACAAAGCGCTGGATTCTATTTTGGAAGTAAGGCAATGTACTGTTAATAGAATGACATTATGCGTTACATCAGAGGCTGAAATGGAAAAATGTATTAAGATGAGAGTAAGCAAACTTTTCGTTATAAAATACGATTTTAAAAATGTGTTTATGAAAATTAATTCAGAGGAATTACATTAGAATCTTTATTTATTCTCGTTTATACTTTTACAGACAGCAATGAAAGCCCAACTATTAAAACCAGAAATGACTTGCTATAAAAGCCATTCTCACATTCATTGTATGCAAGCTATTCAATCAGGTATTTTGTAAATT